ATAGTCTAGTCATAGTCTAGTCATAGTCTAGTCATAGTCTTGTCACAGTCTAGTCATAGTCTAGTCATAGTCTAGTCATAGTCTAGTCATAGTATAGTCATAGTATAGTCATAGTCTAGTCATAGTCTAGTTATAGTTAGTAATAATCTACTCGTCATTAAATGCTGAAACCCCTTTTAATGTTACAAACACAAAGTTAGAGCCGTTTTAACTATTTATAAAAACTACAGCAGCAGGGTCATACTTCTTGTCATCGCAAAAAAAAACACGACTAAAGAAAGTATACTTTCACTATTACATAAAGTTAAGTGCACTTATGTATGTATGCGGAATCCCCCTTCATGTAGTTGATAATTTATTTCACCATGACAAGTAGAAAATAAATAGAAGAGTATAGTGTGTTTTACTAATTTTTAAATAAACCCTACTTAAGAGTAATGCAACGTTCACACTAACCATATTTTCTGCTAATTTGTGGTAAGAGTTGCCAATTACAGTTTATGTGATAGTAAGCTTTACCATAAACTTTTTCTAAATCAATGAAATACTTGTTCAAATTATTGATTATAGTAGTGGTTGCATTTACATATATTATCCAAATATTTGTTTAATGTGAACATACCTTAGTATTGTAGCAAATATTTACCCTAATAAATAAGCTGTAAGTACAAGTATGTATGTACATTGTACATATTAAAGTTGACACAACTAACAGAATAACATAGAAATAGACGCAAGTGGGTAGCGAAAGTGCATAAAATGATAGAATAGTTTAATGTGATAAATTTCCCTAACAAGTTTGGTTAGTTTATTTTCTTTTAAGATTAGTATGTAAATATCCAAGTGTATACTATAAGTAGATTAATACATTAATATTTACCCCAGTTTTTTCCTTATGCATAAATATTTAATACTCAACTATTTAACATTAGCCTTTAAATGAATACATTAAAGTTTACACCCATGCAAATGTAAAATGTGTCAAGAATGAATAAACCAGTAGTTCGCGGATGCAAAAGCGAAGTAAACAGCAATTTACTATGTAATTGATTACTATTGATAGGTTATAGAAGTTCTTTTTAAACTGCAATACTTTTCATTAAAGTACGATGACTGAGTTAAATAACCCAATAGCTCTTTGTTTTTGTTTGATATAATCACTGCAGTATAAGAGAGTTATATTTGACACCTTGCCAAACTGTTGGGATATACATATGTTTCTATATAAAATGTGTATAAAAGAGTGGAAGTGTATTGACATCTTCTAAACAAATTTATCAATTTTATAGAAAAATCAATATTAGAAAATAGACATTTGTTTTGAAGGTTTTCTCTTGAAAAGTTGTAAGTATTATAAAGGGGTCTTGAATAAATTATTAAAGTAAAATTTTTAGCACAAGGCATGTGTAAACGAACTAAATAATATAATTTTTTCACTTTTCGAAACTCAATATGTTTTATTTGAAACGAAACGAATTTATACCAAATTTTATGTTTTCACAATGAGTAGATTTTTAATAGACTTTGAATAGACTATGACTAGACTATGACTAGACTATGACTAGACTATGACTAGACTATGACTATGACTAGACTATGACTAGACTATGACTAGACTATGACTATACTATCTAGACTATGACTAGACTATGACTAGACTATGACTAGACTATGACTAGACTATGACTAGACTATGACTAGACTATGACTAGACTATGACTAGACTATGACTAGACTATGACTAGACTATGACTAGACTATGACTAGACTATGACTAGACTATGACTAACTATGACTAGACTATGACTAGACTATGACTAGACTATGACTAGACTATGACTAGACTATGACTAGACTATGACTAGACTATGACTAGACTATGACTAGACTATGACTAGACTATGACTAGATACTAGACTATGACTAGACTATGACGACTATGACTAGACTATGACTAGACTATGACTAGACTATGACTAGACTAGACTAGACTATGACTAGACTATGACTAGACTATGACTAGACTATGACTAGACTATGACTAGACTATGACTAGACTATGACTAGACTATGACTAGACTATGACTAGACTATGACTAGACTATGACTAACTATGACTAGACTATGACTAGACTATGACTAGACTATGACTAGACTGACTAGACTATGACTAGACTATGACTAGACTATGACTAGACTATGACTAGACTATGACTAGACTATGACTAGACTATGACTAGACTATGACTAGACTATGACTATGACTAGACTATGACTAGACTATGACTAGACTATGACTAGACTATGACTAGACTATGACTATGACTAGACTATGACTAGACTATGACTAGACTATGACTAGACTATGACTAGACTATGACTAGACTATGACTAGACTATGACTACTATGACTAGATGACTAGACTATGACTAGACTATGACTACACTATGACTAGACTATGACTAGACTATGACTAGACTATGACTAGACTATGACCGACTATGACTAGACTATGACTAGACTAGACTAGACTATGACTAGACTATGACTAGACTATGACTACTATGACTAGACTATGACTAGACTATGACTAGACTATGACTAGACTATGACTAGACTATGACTAGACTATGACTAGACTATGACTAGACTATGACTAGACTATGACTAGACTATGACTAGACTATGACTAGACTATGACTAGACTATGACTAGACTATGACTAGACTATGACTAGACTATGACTAGACTATGACTAGACTATGACTAGACTATGACTAGACTATGACTAGACTATGACTAGACTATGACCAGACTATGACTAGACTATGACTAGACTATGACTAGATTATGACTAGACTATGACCAGACTATGACTAGACTATGACTAGACTATGACTAGACTATGACGACTATGACTAGACTATGACTAGACTATGACTAGACTATGACTAGACTATGACTAGACTATGACTAGACTATGACTAGACTATGACTAGACTATGACTAGACTATGACTAGACTATGACTAGACTATGACTAGACTATGACTAGACTATGACTAGACTATGACTAGACTATGACTAGACTATGACTAGACTATGACTAGACTATGACTAGACAATGACTAGACTATGACTAGACTATGACTAAGCTATGACTAGACTATGACTAGACTTGCTTAGACTATGACTAGACAATGACTGAATATGACTAGACATGACGAACTATGACTAACTAGACTAGAGCTACTGACCCTCTATGACAAGACTATGACTAAACTAATGACTAAACTATGACTAAACTATGACTATCCTATGACGAACTATGACTAATTAACACAGGTAAGATACATATAGCTTTAATCCAGGAACCTTGGACGTATCGTACAAGGTTTCTGGATAAAATCACGTAAATTTCCAAACTTTCTACGCTGATACAGGGTCACGACCGAGAACATGCATCTATGTCACAAGAACTTATGTTTTCTCCTCTCAACAGCATTATCCACATCGGATGCAACGATGCTGAGCAAGGTCGTGGCAACATTACACTGCATCTGTTTACCCCTCCTTTCGATTTCTCCGATTAGACAGAATAAGACTAGACTATAGACTAGACTATAGACTAGACAATAGACTAGACTATAGACTAGACTATAGACTAGACTATTGACTAGACTATAGACTATTGACTAGACTATAGACTAGACTATAGACTAGACTATAGACTAGACTATAGACTAGACTATAGACTAGACTATAGACTAGACTATAGACTAGACTATAGACTAGACTATAGACTAGACTATAGACTAGACTATAGACTAGACTATAGACTAGACTATAGACTAGACTATAGACTAGACTATAGACTAGACTATAGACTAGACTATAGACTAGACTATAGACTAGACTATAGACTAGACTAGACTATAGACTAGACTATAGACTAGACTATAGACTAGACTATAGACTAGACTATAGACTAGACTATAGACTAGTCTATAGACTAGACTATAGACTAGACTATAGACTAGACTATAGACTAGACTATAGACTAGACTATAGACTAGACTATAGACTAGACTATAGACTAGACTATAGACTAGACTATAGACTAGACTATAGACTAGACTATAGACTAGACTATAGACTATAGACTAGACTAGACTAGACTATAGACTAGACTATAGACTAGACTATAGACTAGACTATAGACTAGACTATAGACTAGACTATAGACTAGACTATAGACTAGACTATAGACTAGACTATAGACTATTCGAAAGCTGACATTCTGAGTTATTATTTTTAGAAGAAGAGCTAAAAGTTCAGGCTTAAAAATTAAAGTTATAATAAAGTTTTTTGTTTTATTTACAAATTTAATATAAGATTTAAAATGTCACATAGTTAAACATTCAACCCACTGTAAAATATTCAATATTTTAAGAACATTTCTTTGAAGCAATTATTATATGTTTACAAAATTTGTTTTATATATAAAGCCCTTAGGGCTTTAATTTTATTTACAAATATCCGTAGTTTTTGTGCGGATTTTCTGCAAACATTGGAAAATCAAATATTCAATATATATTTTGATTACAGTTTGATTGTTTTTTATTTACAGAAAATATAAAAATTCAATATCCAAATATAGAAAAATTATAGCTTAAATCCAGCCAAAATACGTCGAAGATATTGTTCAGGTGGATTTACGTTTAAATTAAACAAGCAAACTTGTGTTGATATAAATAGACACTTAGACTTGTTGTGTAATGATGGTGAAAGGTTGACTGTACTTAACTAACATATTTATCAAACATAAGATGAAGATGCTTAACCTTTACTAAGCTTAAGATTGGCATTTTGTTGTTTGCTTGAAATAATAAAGTTAGTTAGTTGATGTCAACCTTTCACCATGGAATTATTATGTCTGTATTTACACATGCTGCTAAAAATATCTTTTTATTTTCTATCTAAAAATTTCTTCAACTCACCTGTCATGCTGTGGATGTGTATGCTGTTGTTCATTTTTTGCTGCCTGTTCTTTTGCTGTTTTCTCCAAATGATGAACATCTTCATCTTGTATTTCTTTGTCTTTGTCCTTTTCTCTTACCATTTCACACTCTTTCGAATTCTTGTTATCCTTGTCCTTGTCGACAATTTTATCCTTATTTTCGGTCATAATTAAAGTTTAAATTTTTCAATTCGTTTTTTTTTCTTGAAGGATTATGTTGTTATTGTCCTTTTTTTGGGTTATAGGTATTAATAAAAAGTAATTAATTTGTTAAAAGTTTTTTTTAAGGACTTTAGTATAAAAAACCATCCCTTTTTTGGTGAATTAATGTTATCAATGGGTTTTATCGCTTTGCTTTTTGGTCAAATTAAAGAAGATTTGAATTTTGATTAAAAAGTTATTGAGAAAAGTGATTAAATTATTGAGTTTATTATATAAAGTGATTATGGTGATTATTTTGTTTCTTTGTGCCCTTTTTTCATTGGAATGAAATACTATCCCAGAATTTAAACCACCTCGACTGTAGGTACCGTTTTGGAGTTTTAAAAGAAAACAAAAAACACTAGGGTAATCTTTGTCTACTATGAAACGGTTCGGAAATAGATTATGTACACATCATTCAGAATTCCCATTCTGGCACGAAGGTTGTCTCGTCTTGCTTTTAGAGGAGATTTAAGCTCAAAGCCTAAGTCCATTCTGAAGAAATTATTAGACCTGCAATTGACACCCATATTAATTGTATTTCTACTATCAAACTGAATGACACAAAGATTTCCTAACTACTTCCTAATTAGATTACAAACGAGAGAGGACTGGACTAGAAACCCTATCCTTCGGAACTACACGATCTCAGCCTACGCTGAAAGTTTAAAACCGGTTACACATACTGGATCGGTAATTTTATCTGATGAACATGGACGCTCATTTCAGACTCTTCATATCTATGAATACAATCTTCTAGTTATTTAAACATAGAACAGTCATAACCAGAAAGAGAGCGCGAGCTATGACCTTACACAAAACATATTTTTGTCGAATTTTATCAAGATATATCTTTTTTTGATAATGAAATATGTGCGCTTAAGTGATTTTTTTGAAGTGGACCTCATATATAGCAGCTATTACCATATATGGACCAATCCGGAAAATTTTGGAAGAGTGATTCATATAAAGATAAAACATATTTGTGCCGAATTTTATCTAGATAACTTTATTTAACAATTAAATATGTGCCTTTAAGTGATTTTCGGAAGTGGGACTTATATGGGAGCTATGACCAATAATGGACCAATCCGGGAAAAAAGTGGTAAAATGATTTATATGCACACAAAATATATTCAAGTCGAATTTTATCCTTATATTTTTAGAATTTAATGAAATATATGCGTTTAAGTGATTTTCGGAAGTGGGCTTTATATGGGAGCTATGACCAATATTGGACCGATCCGTAAAAAATTTTGTGGAATGATTATAATTTTATCACGATAGCTTTAGTTGACAATGAAATATGTGTTTTTAAGTTATTTTCGGAAGTGGGCCTTATATGGGAGCTATGACGAATAATGGACCGATCCGTAAAAAATTTCGTAGAGTTATTCATATTTAGACTAAACATATTTGTGTCGAATTTTTCAAGATAGCTTTATTTGACAATGAAATATGAGCATTTAAATTATTTTCGGAAGTGGGCCTTATATGGGAGCTATGACCAATAATGGATCGATCCGTAAAAAATTTGGTAGATTGATTTGTATGTACACAAAACTTATTTAACTCGAATTTTATCACAATAGCTATATTCATCAATGAAATATGTACGTTTAGGTGATTTTCGGAAGTGGACCTTATATGGGAGCTATGACCAATTGTGGACCGACTGAGACCTACGTTGACTGTATTATTTCTGTTCATATTATATTTGCACGTACAAAATTTTGTGTTGATACCGATATATTTGAGGGAGTTATTAAACTAAAAAACTAATTTCCGGGAATATATACCTTTGTATGGGGGCTATGGGAAATATTCGATCGATTGTAAAGATCTTGAACATAATTGATCACAGGCATAAAAAAATAGTGTGTGACAAAATTCTATATCTTTGGTAGTTTCTGAGAAAACTTCAAAAGAATGTTGAAAAAAACGTAATTTTTTTCGAGGTAATCTGAAATTTTTACTCATAACTTTTTGCGTTGTGAACCGATTTTGCTGATTTTTCAATACCAAACTGCTTAGGATAATAATAAATATTTTGGATGAATTTGGTTGATTTCCTTTGCTTAGTTTTAATGTGAGCGTGTTTTACACAGACAGACAGACGGACATAGCTAAATCGACTCAGAATTTGATAAGGACCCAGAATATATATACTTTGTTGGGTCCTAGATGAATATTTCTTGGTATTACACACGGAACGACAAACTTATATATACCCTCTATCACCACTGATGTTGGTGGAGAGTATAAAAAAACTGCCATAAAACGAAAATTTTCTCAAGAAAACTGTCTTAATATTTTGTATAGAACAGTGATTAGAAGGAACTTTTTATAAAAAAATACTGCCGTCAAAAGTCACTTTTCTCTAGACAACTGTCTTAATATTATCTAGAGAAAACTCTTTAAGAAAGACTGCTTGAAATATGCATGATTTTTATAAGAGAATATTGTCTTAGAAAGACTTTTCCATAAAAAACTGCTTTAACTGACAATTTATACATAAAACTGCCATTAAAATTACTTTTCTGTAAGAATGCATCTTAAAAGGAACTTTATGCATTAAAACAATTGCATTAGCAAGACATTAATCCAGAATAAAACTGTCTAGAAAAGACTCTTTTATAAAAAAAACTGCTGTAAAAAAGCACTTTGTTCTTTTCACTCTGCTTTTCTATAAAAAACTATCTCAAAGAAGACACTTCTTATGTTAGCTATGTTTTATAAACATCTTTCTATAAAAAACTGCTTCAGTAAACACCTGTTAAGGGAACTTTTCTATAAAAAAACTGCTTTAACTGCTTTTAATATAAATTAATCTAAAAAAAAACTGTCTAGGAAAAAAATTTGCATTACAAACTGCTCTTTGCTATAGAAAACTGTCTCAAAGAAGTCAATTCTTATGTTAGATATGTTTTATAAAGATCATTCAATAAAGAACTGCTGTAAAAAGCAGCAGCCTCAATCAAGCTATGTGGAGAAGACTGTTTGTGAGAGACTTTTCTATAAAAAAAGTGCTTGAAATAAACAGTTTGTTTTGAAAGAAGGCTCAGAAATACATTCATATGAAGGATTTTGTGTTAGAAACTGCTTTAATAAACACTTTTATATAGAAAACTGCCTTTAAAGACGTTTTCTTGTAAGGGACTATCTTGAAAAAACCTTTTCATTAAAAGCTGTCTTTTTGTTCTCCAAAAACTGCCTTAAAAATTCTATCTGAAAACCTTTTTTTTTTAAACTATAAAGAACATTCCATATAAAACTGTCAAAAAACTGCACTTTGATGTGGAAAACTGTCTTCAAAATACATTTTTGTATACAAAACTTCCTTAAAAATACACTTAACTAGAAAAACTGCCTTAGAAAGGACGTTTTTTTAAAAAACTGTCTTACAAATTCACATATCTATAGATGACTGACTTTCAAAGAACTTTTTATAGGGAAAACTGCCTTAAAATACACCCTTGTAGGGAAAACTGCCTTAAAAATACACTTATGTATGGAAAACTGTCTTAAAACTAAACTTAATCGGAGAAAACTGTCTTAGGAAGGTATTTACATAAAAAACTACCTTAAAAGTACACATTTGTATGGAAAACTGTCTAAAATATCCATTTATGTATGGAAAACTGACTTAACAATACAGTTATGTTAGGTTAGGTTAAAAGGAGGATGAATAGTACATCAAATCCGAAGAAATACATGAAAACAAAAAACAATTGATCACTGATTAATTCTATCACCTGATATCGCCCTAATTGCCTTCTGGCTGTCGGTAAATATATTAAGGCCTGTGGGCGCCATTCTAATCCAATTTACACATTCCGTTATTGTTTGGACTTCTGCCTGGAAGCTTGTGTTATGATTAGGTAAACGGTGGTATATTTCTGTTTCTAGGTTTTCAATATAGAACCCCAGGACCACTTTATCCATCCCCCAATTTAGAGCCATCCGTGTAACAACGGATTCCTACTGGTATTTGCTCTAGTTTTCCGCTTGACCAAGACATTCTATCTGTGATCAGCGTTTCAAAGTTTCCGACATATGCTGTATATAACCTTCCAATGTGTCCAGTATACATTGATGACGTGTCCTATAACCGCTTTTGGTCAGTTCGCTTCAGTTAAAACTACCCGCAAAGTACACTTTTCTATAAAAAAATTGTTGACTTAAGAAGACGCTTCTATAAACAGTTAAAATCTGAAGTTTTTAACACATTTAAATACCCTTCAGCGCTATAATAGAAGCGGTAAGTATTATTCGCTTGTGCTGGCTATTTTAACACTCAATACCCTATAACTACCTAGAAGTATGCTAAGCGGTTTCAAATCTCTTTCTGAGGCGAGTTAGTTATGCCTTTCTGTCTGTCTGGCTGGCTATATATCTACCTGTCTGTCTGTATATATGTGTATCCGTCTGTATATATGTATATATGTACATATGTATATATGTATATATGTATATATGTATATATGTATATATGTATATATGTATATATGTATATATGTATATATGTATATATGTATATATGTATATATGTATATATGTATATATGTATATATGTATATATGTATATATGTATGTATGTCTGTCTGTCTGTCTGCATATCTGTCCATCTATCTGTACGTCCCTCTGTATATCTGTCTATCTATCTGTCCCTCCGTCCATCCATCCATCAGTCCTCCCATCCGTCCGTCTGTGTTTCTATGCAGTCCTTTTGCTTTTGATTTTCAAGATAATTTCGTAAAATTTACGAAATTTTTCATTCTTGGCCCAAGCACAATTAATCCATCAACCTGTTCTACATAGTAGTATACTAATCCTCACATCCTTCTATCAGTCCGTCCGTCTGTGTATCCATGTAAATCTTTTGTTCAAGATACAGGTCGCAGTTTCCAAGATAATTTAGTAAAATATATCTTTCTATATATGAAGTATATCAACTGGTCCGTCCATCCATAAGTACGTCCTGGAAACATACCAATCGGTCCGTCCTTCCATCAGTCCGTCCGTCTGTGTGGCCATGTAAACTTTTTGCTCAAGATACTGGTTGCAATTTTCAAGATAATATAGGAAATAGATCTTTCTTGGTCCAAGGACGAAGCCTCTAGCCCCCAGACAAACCCACTTCAAAAGATGAA